AAGGGAGGAATGGAGAGAGAAAAGCCAGCACATGCTTACTGACTGCTGACTGTCTGCCCAGCCCTTTTTAGACACCAGCTTATTGAATCTTCACAATAACCCTGGGAGGTAGTCATTTTTTATAGATGAGGATTTTAGGACCTGAGAGTGACACATTTGAGAGACCCAGGAGATTTCATAGTACACAGAGTGGTCTTATATTATTAGGGATGTTCACAGACAAACATACCTACATCCTTTTCACAATTATTAGGGAGTCCTGCTGATGCTAGCATCGTCCAGCACTCTTTCCCCACATGTTTTAAGGATATGCTGAACAAGAGGGTCTGAAAGGGACTTTCTTGCCAGCATTTGTTGCCTTGTACTTTGGCTTTCTTTTCTTCCTGGCATTGGTACCATTTGAGGTATATTTATTATGTATATCTCTTACTAGACCCTAGTAAGCTTCATGGGATATGATGTAAGTTCCATGAGATCAGGAACTTTATTCTGTCCAGTTCCTAAAAGAAGGTCGGGCACATCACAGGCCTTTACTCAATATATGATGAATGGATTTGTTCATGAAAGGCAATGTGAGATGCCTCCTAAGATGTGGAAGTTTAGATGTCACCATGGCTCTTGAGGCAAGAACAAAACCAAAAAGCCGACTATTCACATAAAGAGAAACGTAAAAGAATAAGGCCAGGCACGGTGGCTCATACCTATAATCCCAGCACTTTGGGAGGCTGAGGCAGGTGGATCACCTGAGGTCAGGAGTTCGAGACCAGTTTAGCCAACATGGTGAAACCCTGAAAATACAAAACATTAGCTGGGCATGGTGTTGGGCACCTTTAATCCCAGCTACTCACGAGGCTGAAGCAAGAGAATCACTTGAACCTGGGAGGCAGAGGTTGCAGTAAGCTGAGATTGCATGCACCATTGCACTCCAGCCTGGGCAGCAAAAGTGAAACTCAAAAAAAAAAAAAAAAAAAAAGAATGAATGGGATGTGGAGAACAGATAAGGGGGGGGAAAAAAACAACAACAAAGGAACAGAGGCAGTCATTCCAAAGTTCTCAATTTGGTGCATAAGAAAATGATTCCTATTTGTTGCAGGTGAAAATGTTTGATGTGCCGGCTCCTTTACCTCAAAGTTACACTAAGAAGAAATCTAAAAATTGGGATCAAAGATGCAGCTGCTTTCCCATTTAAGCAGCACAGACAGCCCAAAGTGACAGTTTTCCTGTACAGTTACTCTTCTGTTATCTGTAACAGATCTATGACATTTTGGGAAAAGACAGCCAAAAAAAATTAGAACTGAGGTAGGTGTGCCTGATTCCTTTCGCAATTCTGCTGATGACTGAACCAACAGAACACAAACACAGGTGAAACCTGCACAGCTGCGAAAGTCTACCAAAGGGGGCTGTTCACATGCAAGATTCTGAAAGGAATTTCTGCTCAATAGAGTTAGTGGGATCACACTGACAAGAACGGGGGCTTTCTGGGGGTCTGGCTTTGGATCTCATGAACATACTCTACTTTGGAGGTATGAGAGGTAAAGGTAAGAGAAGTAAGGCAGACTGGGAACTGTTCTGTGAGTCCCCCTAGCCACTGTGGCTTGGGGACACTAGTGAGGCTAGCAGTGATTGAGGCCTGACTCTCCAAGGACAGCACTTGGCCCTGGTGGGTGAGTGGCAGCCCTGCACAGGGTCCAGCCATACCTGCCTCAGGGGAGACTGCCCACGTCATCAATAGCTTGGCTCCCTCCCTGGTCTCAGGCTGCTGAGCCATGGAATCTGTTTTCTATGTCCCAGTTTAAAGTCCTCAAGGAGAATGCTAGTAGCATTCAGAGGAAGTGCTGGGATTCAAGAATCATCATCTCCCTCAGTCTCCTTTAGAGTCTGTTCTCATGCTACTAATAAAGACATATCCGAGACTGGGTAATTTATAAAGGAAAGAGGTTTAATTGACTCACAGTTCAGCATGGGGGCTGGGTAATTTATAAAGGAAAGAGGTTTAATTGACTTACAGTTCAGCATGGCTGGGGAGGCGTCAGGAAACTTACAATCGTGGTGGAAGGGGAAGCAAACATGTCCTTCTTCACATGGCAGCAGCAAGGAGAAGTGCTGAGCAAAAGGGAGAAAAGCCCCTTATAAAACTATCAGATTGGCCGGATGTAGTGGCTCACACCTGTAATCCTAATACTTTGGGAGGCCAAGGCAGGTGAATCATCTGAGGTCAGAAGTTCAAGCCCAGCCTAGCCAACATGATGAAATGCTGTCTCTACTAAAAATACAAAAAAGAAAAAAAAAAGCCAGCCTTGGTGGTGGGCACCTGTAATCCCAGCTACTCAGGTGGCTGAGGCAGGAGATGAACCAGGGAGATGAAGGTTGCAGTGAGCTGAGACCATGCCACTGCACTCCAGCCTGGGTGACAGAGTAACTCCATCTTAAAAAAATAAAATATCAGATTTCGTGAGAATTCACTATCACGAGAACAGCATGAGGGTAACTGCTCCCATGATTCAATTACTGCCTATCGAGTCCCTCCCATGACACGTGGGGATTATGGGAGCTGTAATTCAAGATGAGATTTGGGTGGGGACCACAGCCAAACCATATCATTCTGCTCATGGTCTCTCTAAAATCTCATGTCCTCACATTTCAAAACACAATCATGTCTTCCTAATAGTCCCCCAAACTCTTAACTCATTCCAGCATTAACTCAAAAGTCCAAGTCCAAAGTCTCATCTGAAACAAGGCAAGTCCCTTCCACTTAAAAGCCTGTAAAATCAAAAGCAAGTCGGTTACTTCCTAGATATACTGGGGGTACAGGCATTGGGTAAACACACCTGTTCCAAATGGAAGAAATTGGCCAAAACAAAGGGGCTGTAGACCCAGTGCAAGTCCAAAATCTAGCAGGGTAGCCAAATCTTAAAGCTCCAAAATAATCTCCTTTGACTCCATGTCTCATACCCAGGTCACACTGATGCAAGAGGTGGGCTCCCATGGTCTTGGGCAGCTTAACCCCTGTGGCTTTGCAAGGTACAGTGCCACTCCTGGCTGCTTTCACAAACTGGCATTGAGTGTCTGCAGCTTCTCTGGGTGCACAGTACTAGCTGTCGGTGGATCTACCATTCTGGGGCCTGGTGGGCAGTGGCTCTCTTCTCACAGCTCCAGTAGGCAGTGCCCCAGTGGGGACTCTGTGGGAGGGCTCCGACCCCGTATTTCCTTTCTGCACTGCACTAGCAGAGATTCTCCATGACAGCTCTGCCCCTGCAGTACACCGCTGCTTGGAAATCCAGGCATTTCCATTCATCTCCTGAAATCTAGGTGGTGGTTCCCAAACCTCACTTACTGACTCAGTTATTGAACCACAGGCCCAATGCCATGTGGCAGATGCCAAGGCTTGGGGCTTGCACCCTATGAAGCAACAGCCTGAGCTGTATGTTGGCCCCTTGTCGCCATGGCCAGCTGGAGCAGCTGGGAAGGAGGACACAAAGTTCCAAGGCTGCACATAGCAGCAGGGCTCTGGACCCAGCCCAGGAAACCATTTTTCCCTCCTAGGCCTCTGGGCCTGTGATGGGAGAGGCTACCATGAAGATCTCTGTCATGCCCTGGAGACATTTTCCCCATTGTCTTGGTGATTAACATTTGGCTCTTCATTACTTGTGCAAACTTCTGCAGCTCGCTTGAATTTCTCACCTGAAAATTGAGTTTTCTTTTCTATAACATTGTCAGGCTGCAAATTTTCCAAACTTTCATGCTCTGCCTCCTTTTGAATGCTTTTCTGCTTAGAAATTTCTTCGACCAGTTATCCTAAATTGTCTCTCAAGTTCAAAGTTCCACAGATCTCTAGGGCAGAGGCAAAATGCCACTAGTCTCTTTGCATAGCAAGAGTGACCTTTACTCCAGTTCCCAACAAGTTCCTCATCCCCATCTGAGACCACCTCAGCCTGGACTTCATTGTATCACTGTCAGCACTTTGGTCAAAGTCATTCAACAAGTCTCTAGGAAGTTCAAACTATCCCACATTTTTCTGTCTTCTGAGCCCTCCCATTAGTTCCAATCTCTGCCTGTTACCTAGTTCCAAAGTTGCTTTCACATTCTCGGGTATCTTTACAGCAGCACCCCACTCTCTGCAGTACCAGTTTGCTGCTCTCACACTGCTAATAAAGACATACCTGAGACTGGGTAATTTATAAAGGAAAGAGGTTTGACTCACAGTTCGGCATGGCTGGGGAGGCCTCCGGAAACTTATAATCATGGTGTAAGGGGAAGCAAACACGTTCTTCACATTGTGGCAGCAAGAGAAGTGCTGAGCAAAAGGGCGAAAAGCCCTTTAAAACCATCAGATCTCGTGAGAACTCACTATAACTAGAACGGCATGAGGGTAACTGTCACCATGATTCAGTTACCTCCCACCAGGTCCCTCCCATGACAAGTGGGTATTATGGGAACCACAATTCAAGATGAGATTTGAGTGGGGACACAGCAAAACCATGTCAGGGGGCAAACTGAATCTAAGGTTTGGGTAAAATTCTCATTGTACAAAAATGAGTAAATTGAATTTCTCACACAGCTTGGGGCCCTATAAAAAGAGTTTGCTAGCTGGGCATGATGGCTCATACCTATAATCCCAGAACTTTGGGAGGCCGAGGGGGGCGGATCACGAGGCAGGAGTTCAAGACCAGCCTGGCCAATATGGTGAAACTCCATCTCTACTAAAATACAAAATTTAGCCAGGTGTGGTGGCTCACGCCTATAATCTCAGCTACTTAGGAAGCTGAGTCAGGAGAATCACTTGAACCCTGGACGCGAAGGTTGCAGTAAGCCAAGATCACGGCATTGTACTCAGCTTTGGGTGACAGAGCAAGACTCCGTCTGGGGACTGGTGGGGAGGAGGGAGAAGAAAAGAAAAAAAGAGTTTGCATAATTAGGCCAAAAGAGCATTATATTCAAGAGCCATAAATACATTCACAGGTGTTTACTGAGCATCTCCCATGCACCTGGGATTCTTCTAGATGCTCAGAATGGAGCAGCAGACAAAGGAGACAAAAATCCCTGCCTTCGTGGAACATGAATTCTATAAGAGAAAAGAAATTTCTAAAGGAAAGAAGGCAATTTTAGCATCTGCTCTGCTCCGCTGTCTCAAAAAATAAGCAAGGAGTTCACAGATATGCCACTGGAGGTATATATACCCAGGAAGAGTCCACAAACGCACAAGAGGTAGGCACAAGGAAGGTCACTAAAATTTGTTCATGATAGGGAAAACTGCAAACAAGTATCACTAGAGAAAATACCTAAATCAAGGTGGTTATTTTATAGCGCTCAAGCACAGCGGTTTAGCGTGCGGCTCTGGGGCCAGAAGCCTAGGTTTTAATCTAGCTCTACCACTTGTTGGCCTTAATTTCTTTGTCTGTAACACAGGACTGGGGATTAGTAGCAGTACTTATCTCCCAGGTCTATTTGAGCATTACATAAAAAATGTAAAGCCTCTAGAATAGCGGTTAGCACGCAATAAGCACTTAATAAACGTTAGCTATATTTATTATTTTGCTGATAATGGAGTGCTATGTAGCAGTTAGAGAAAATGAACTAAGTCTATGTATCAACATGGATACATCTAAAAAATGTAATGCTCCTTCATGTTTTAATTCAACAAGTATTTATTGAGTGTCTATATGTTCCACACAGTGTTCTAGGTACTTGGGACTCATCAGTGAACAAAACAAAGATCCTGCCCTTGTGGACCTTATGAGCCAGAGGTAGGGAAACGGATGTAACCTCTAAGGAAACTGTATGTTAATGTAGGTGGTGACAAGTGCTGTTGAAAGGGGAGAGAAAGCATGGTAAAGGTGTCTAAGAATGCAGAGTTAAGGCGGGCGTTGGTTGGATTTTAAGCCGAGAACACAAGTATGAGAAAATGTCCATGTTACGACCTCTAGGTGGCGGGTACACAGCTGCTTGTTTTGTTATTTCTTTCGTCTTTCTCTGTATTTACAATTTTTCTAAAAAATTCCTCTCTATGATATAAAAGATTAAAGAAAAACTCCTGATTAGGAGTCTGAAATACGAAGGGAGTTGTTCAAGACGCAGGCAATTAGGCTGGGCGCGGTGGCTCATGCCTGTAATCCCAGCAGTTTGGGAGGCCGAGGCGGGCAGATCACGGGGTCAAGAGATCGAGATCATCCTGGCCAACACGGTGAAACCCCCGTCTCTACTAAAAATACAAAAATTAGCTGTGTGTGGTGGTGGGTGCCTGTAATCCCAGCTATTTGGCAGGCTGAGGCAGGAGAATTGCTTGAACCTGGGAGGTGGAGGCTGCAGTGAGCCGAGATTGTGCCACTGCACCCCAGCCTGGGCAACACAGTGAGAATCTGTCTCAAA